CAAATTGTCGCTCGACTTCGACCAGCTCGCAAGAAGGGTTGGGGAGAAGGCAAGTTGAAAAACTTTAATGTTTATCAGCTACAAAGCTGTTCAAATCGTCGCTCGACTTCGACCAGCTCGCAAGAAGGGTTGGGGAGAAGGCGAATTGAAAAACTTTAACGTTTATCAGCTACGAAGCTGTTCAAATCGTCGCTCGACTTCGACCAGCTCGCAAGAAGGGTTGGGGAGAAGGTGAGTTGAAAAACTTTAACGTTTCACAGCCACAAAGCTGTTCAAATCGTCGCTCGACTTCGACCAGCTCGCAAGAAGGGTTGGGGAAAGACATACGGGAAATTACAGCGATAACTCGAAATACAATTAACGCAAGCGAGGAAGAAAAAGGAGTAATATTGATAGCAAAGTTCATTACATTCCGAGTCGCCTCGACCTTTTCATATCTTGAAAATAGGTCGAGGCAACATATCCTAATAATTCTTTTAAAACAAAAACAAACAAAACAACAAGTTTACGATTCAGCATCAGACTTCTCACCCACACCACCATCCTCAGCTGGAGCTTTCTCGGCATCATTATCGCCAACGACTCCCTCCTGCTCTGCCCCCTCAACCTCATCATCCTCGACCAGCTCCTCACGATCCTCGGCATCAGAGGACCCCATGTGATCCGCCCCATTTGGCCCGACTAATTCGGTCAGACCAGCCAAAGGGGCGGGGGGAACCTCGAGCCGGCCATCCAGTCCGGCCTTGCGAATGGCCCTAGCTTCTAAGCCGACCCACCACGGGTGATCGGAGGGGAGAGTCGCATCGCCACTATAGCCGTCAGGAAGAGGAAGGGTCTGCTTGACTGTCTCGCGGTCGAGCTTGCCCGCGCATTCAGTCTTCTCCACAGCCTTCTCCCACGCGTCGAATGTGTGGTTAAAGTATTGGAGAGTCGCAGAACATAGCTTGTCAAGAAAGGCGGGGGAGTTGCAGAATAGGTTTACAGCTTCTTGACGGTAATGCTCGAGGAACACAGAACCCAGGGGTGATTTGAGAAAGGTCCTGCGTCCCTCGAGGATCCCCGCCTCTCTCTCGACCAGGGCGTCATCAGCCGCCTTCGCCAAGTCAGCCTGAAGCTGGTCGACTTTGGAGAGGGCAGCAGCCTTCTCGGTTTTCAGCTTGGCAATCAGAGCATTGGCAGCCAGGAGGTCGTCATCTTTCTTCTCAAGCTCGGGAAGCAGATCTTCGTACTTTTTTTTGTAAGCACGGATGTTGGAGTCGGGAGAGCTTGTATCCTCGAGCAGGGAAGGCATAATAAAAGCCATGAACTGAAAAGGACCGTGAAGGACAGTCAGAAAGGGTGAGAACCCAAGTAGGATTAATCGACTGAACTCAGAAATAACAAATTACCCGAGAGAAGCAAAGGAGGGCACGGCTGGCGCGGTCGTAAGGATCACGGTCGGCGCGAGCTTTGTCAGCAGCAGGGATGATGGAGTCGAAGTATTTAGCGATCTCATGGGGATGAGGGTGGTCCCACAGTCGAGAAGGTCTCTCGAGGGTGACTGTCTCGAGTTGACCCGCCGGAGGAGCAGGCGCGGCGGCCTTGCCCTTGTCTTTCGTCTTCCGACGCTTGAGAGAGTCGGGGACAAAGGTCACATCTGCCGAGTCCTGAGCTCGCTTCCGGGGAAGCGAGCTTGAAGCTTTCTTCTGACTCCCTGGAGGGGGGGGGGCGTTACCTTCGATCTTTCTGCGACAGTCGTCTTGACCGCCGCATCCTTTGCACCCGACCCCGAGCCGCCGTCGGGATTTGTCGAGAAAGCAGGACGAGCAGCAGATTTCCCGTCGCCTTTTATCTTCTCGAATCGGGCAAGAACGGAATCTGTATATAGGCATAGAAAACGTTAGTCATATTGGCGTAAACACTTAAAATAGAAATGCACGAAAGCCACTTACGAGGGTCGTCGAGATGAGGAAGATCCTCGTCAACAACGAGGCCGACATGATTGAGGAGGGACATCTATTTGATCAAAGGCCGAGCTTTATAAGTATTTTTATTAAGTTCGGCTAGCATCGACTCGAACATAGAGGACTGTTGCCGTTTATTTTGTTTAACCTTGGAAGTGATCCAAGTGTTCGGATATGGATACGAGCCTGGAGCGGGTCGAATAAAGACGAACTTAGATTTCCATTTTGTCACGTTGGAAGAAAGGTCATCGAGAAAAGTGACACCAGCACGACGACCCAGACAATGGGCGTCCTTTATGAATCGGTAACTATAGCAGTAAAAGAGAAACTCGGGAGAAAAATATTGAAGCTTTATTCTAGAAACAACGATAAACGCGATCATAATGCGAAGGGCATTAGGGGAAAACTGATTTATGGGTACATCATACAAGTCGCTAATAGCGCGAAGTTCGGGTTGAATTGGGAAACGAAGACCAAACAACACTTGATCAATAAAGAAGGTGTAGAAGCCAGGGAGAGGATGAGTGAAGTCGTCATTGGGGCTAGGAACGATTAACTCCCAGTCGGACGGAAGACCACTGTACACTTTAAAGCCCTCGACCTCGGCTGCAGGGGCATAACAAAAAGGATTTAAAATAGCCAGTTTGGCTAAAGGACATGCTACAGATACGGCATCTCGAGCCTCGAGAAGAGGCACGATTATGGGTAAAGAAGAAGGACTAGTTCTATATACATGTAAATCTAAAATCCTAAGGGGAATACCTCGGGGAATGAGGTCGAGACAAGGAGATTTATTAGCGCGTGAATACTCGGGATCCTCAGCCAAGACACCCGACATCCACGCTTGTCTATGAGCATCTTGATCGATGCCGAAAGATGATACATCTGAGTGAGAATGCGGTGACTGGTCAGCCGGTTTGAAACCGACTATTTGTACTGAATCGGACGATTGGGCGCCTGCGTCGATCAAGCGTTCGATGGTATTGGGTGAAGAATCGGAGTCAGAATCTAAAAAAAAAAAACGAAAAAGAAAAATCGAGATCAGTAAAGGCGAATTTAGTGCGAAGTGAAAGAGGGCATAACCAACTAAGAATAAAGTCGACTTAAGGAAGTCGACATGAGTCAAATCAAAAGATAACCGTGGAGGTGGTTTTAAAACAAAGAAAGCCGTGAGAACACGCCATTCGTCCTAGTAGCGATGAACGAGCAGGAGCGAAAGAGGATTAAGAAGAACCGAGCCTAAATCGACTCAAACGACGCGAATCGACTTGGTGCTAAAAGTCGACAGGAAGCAAGATTGGAACAAACAAGAAACTAAAAAAGAGATCCACACGAAGAAGATCTAACACAACTCTTGCAAAATCATTCAACGAACGCCAAGAACACATAAGTTCTGAAACATAGAAAACCCAGAAAATCCAGAAAATTTACAGAAAACAAAAGGAGAAATATCAGAAGTTGAGAAATTGGAACACTTACACATGATTGTTGTCGGAAAGCTCTGAAGTTGCCGGAGAGAAAAGCGCCGGAGAACAGGAAGCACGGAGAGTGCCGAAAAAGTTCGAGAAGGACCAGAGCAAGAAAGCGGAAAAGTAACTTCTCAAAGAAAAAGGAG